GTCAACAGTTCCCTGTGCCTAATGTTATAATTAAAGGAAGTTTCATACTTTTTGTGTTAAATTATTGTCGATTCTTCTGAAATTTTCATTTTAATCAACAATAATTTGTCTCAACAGAAAGAAAATTAAATACATGGTTTTTAAAATCACTGATATACTTTTAATATGGCCCTTGGGAGGGTTGCCAGAATTTTTTAACTTGTAAAGGGGTCGCATATTCAAGAAGGTTGAAAAATACTGGTCTAAACAATGATAGTAACAAAACTTTTATTACAAATTAGTATTACAGTTATCCTGTCAAACAATACTTTTGTATATACAGATAGGTATAGACAAAATTAAATGTTAAATGTAGGTTTGAGGTATTTTCCCCATTTTTGTTTGTTTTCATTTTTCAACTCCTGAATTAACTGTACTGTTGTCCATTTCTGTAAATGGCATGAGCTAGAAAGTCCCCATACATTTTCTGTGGAGTTAAGATTAGGGGAACAAGCTGGCCAGTCAATTATTTGTACCCAATTACTCAAGAACCATTCTTATTCTCTTAGCTGTCTACACAAGTGCATTATCTTATTGAAAAAGTACTCACCTCCTGCAATACTTTCTGCATAAGGTAGCAAATAATCTTTCAACATTTTTTGGTAAGATGGGGGTATTCATTCAATGCTTGCTTTCACAGCTGGAATGGAAAAACACATTTATTGTGTTTTTCCATTCCAGCTGTGAAAGTGACCCAACTCATCACACTGCAAAGCATCAAACAAGATGCAGCAAACAGTTGTCTTTGTGCAGATCATGACAATAGTATACCCAAATATTTGATCTATCCAGATATGAACTTTTCTTCATTACTTCAAATAATTTCTTCCATATTTCATTCCAAGCTGTGAGCTGGAGTTAGCTCAGAATAGACGCTTCTTATGCCACTGTTATAGGGCAATGTAGTTTTTTGTTCTTGTATATCAGATGAGGGCTACATGCCACAATTTGGTTAATGGTTGATTTAGATACATTAATACTGTCTTGATGTGTCACAACTCATAGTTACATAATTTTTTATCACCTCACACATAATCAGCCATTCTATAGGTGGAGTAACTGTGCTAGGTCTTCCAACTGGCTTCTTCTTTGCATAATTTTTGCCTGATTGAAGAAAATTATCAATTGCTAGATGGGACCTGTTTAATTTGTTCACAGTTTGCTTCGA